ATGTATTTATCAAAAGTTTTTTTCAATGTTCTCTCAGTACAAATTGCTTTGAACCACTTAAGAAAAGCATAATATTAGACAAAGTCAGAGGCTCAGATAGACTATGCACCTGAGTTTGTTTTCTGCACCTTTCTTCTCACTCTCAATTTCAAAAGTCTTCCATCATTTTCTTTCTGAGTTATTTCTCTTTTACATATTTTATATTCTCTTTTGGTCCAGTTTATACTTTATGAAAAACATTTTTCTACTCATCTTCATTTGAATCTCTCTCTTCCCTTCCTCCTCATCAAAATCACTCTCATCATCTTCAATTACTACAACTACCACCAATGCACACTTTCAAATTTTACTCACAAATCGATTTGCTTTTTTGAAAATAAAAAAAGAACTTACGTTTCGTTTGAGGTTCTTCTACCACCATTGTGTGTTACTTTCTTTGTTGTTCAGTGTTTAAGAGAACCAGGATGCCTCTTTTAATTTCCTGCAAGATATATTTTCTCTATCCTCTGAGACTGTAATGCTTTAAAGTAGTAGAAAACCCCATGCTTCTCCCTCCCTATGAATACAGAGAATATATTCATAAATTTTTAAGAGCTTTGAAGGTTCTCAACATAAAATGGTTCACTCAAAAGAAGAAGTCTTTCCAAAGACCGGGGTTTCCTTTGATTCACTTGGCTGGATGGGGCAACAAATGAGGGAAATTGCGAAAACAACACACACCAAAAAACAGTAGTAAGTTCCATATGCTTGTTGAAATCACCTCGTTATTGAGTCATATGGAATTTCTCACTCTAGTCTCTCACTCTACTTCTCATGCAAAAAAAAGACTATGCTTAGAAATGAACATTAACTCGTCTTTGTTTTCCATGATATTCTGCTTTTAATGAGAATAAATATGTTGGAAATAAGCTCTGCTCTTGAAAATATTCTGAGCATAAAGAGAAGCTGTGCCCAAGCTATCATTAAAATAGCAAAAGATCACATAGACAAGGACAAAATCATTAGGCTCTGATAAGATTTCTGCACGCAGATAACAGTGACTGGAAAGATTAGATGGAAAATTGATTGGGCGTGAGTTTATGGTAATAAGGGAAGAACAACTTAGATAAGAAGATGTTTTAAGCTTGATTAGGTATAATGAAATGATTTAAATCTTGAGAAGAAATCTAAGTAATGTGACCGAAATATAGAAAGGTACCTAAGCATGCATTGTAACACCAACTGCAAAGACACTGATCTCCTATGTATATAATATCTACTACTGGGCTTTGGTTGTGTAGAGGTGAAGTGCTGGCCTGCAAACCTCATGGTCAGCAGTTCAAAACCACTAATAGCTCCAGGGGAGACAGATTGGGCTTTCTACTCCCATAAGCAGTTTATCTAAGAAACACACAGGGGCTATCTATTAGTCAGCATTGACTCATTGGAAGTGAGTTTGATTTTTTTTAAATTGACTTTAGCCTATGCAATATCAAGAAGCCGAATATTGACTTAAACATCTTTCTAGTATCCCTGAACTTACAGGATCACTAAAAATGTGACCACAGAAGTGTAACATTATCAAAATAAGTTCAAAATATTCCAATTTATCTAAAGTATTCTAAATGTAATTTTTTGTGAAAAGCACATATATATGTTAAAATTCTATCAGTCACTTAGGGTAAAACGGAAGAGTCTACTCAGAGATTTTTTTTCACATTTCTTATTAGTAGCCTCTTTTTAAATTTCCATTTTTCTTTTTGTTTCCTTTCCCTATTTTCCTTCTTCTTCTGTTATTCTCTCAAACCTATCTTTTTTTTTATTAATTCAGTTAGGGGTCCTACAGCTCTTATCACAATCCATCCATACAACCATCCATTGTGTCAAGCACATTTGTACAAATGTTGCGATCATCAATTTCAAAACATTTTCTTTCTACTTGAGTCCTTGGTAGCAGCTCATTTTTCCCCAACCATGCCCTCCCTCTCTCATGAACCCTTGATAATTTATCATTTTTTTCAATGTCTTACAACAACCACTGTCTCCCTTTACCCATTTTTCTGTTGTCCATCCCACTGGGAGGGGATTATATGTAGATCATTGTGACCGGTTCCCCTTTCCTCCTTACCCTCCTGGTATTGCTACTCTTGTTATTGGTCCTGAGGGATTTATCTGTCCTGGATTCCCTGTGTTTCCAGCTCTTATCTGAACCAGTATAAATCCTCTGGTCTAGCTGGAGTTGTAAGGTAGAATAGTGTTCATGCTAGTGGTGGGGAGGAAGCATTAAAGAACTAGAGGAAAGGTGTATCTTTTGTCAGTGCTGTACTGCACTCCAACTAGCTTGTCTCTTCCTTGTGACCCTTCTGTAAGGAGATGTCCAGTTTTCAACAGATGGGCTTTGGGTCTCCACACTCCCCCTCATTCACAATGAAATGATTATTTGTTCTGGGTCTTTGATGCCTGATACCTGATCCCATCGACACCTCATGATCACACAGACTAGTGTACTTCTTCCATGCGGGCTTTGTTGCTTCTCGGCTAGATGACCATGTGTTTATCTTCAAGCCTTTAAGACTCCAGACACTGTATCTTTTGATAACTGGGCAACATCACCTTTCTTCACCACATTGGCTTATGCACCTATTTTATCTTCAGCGATCACGTCTAGAAGGTGAGCACTACAGAATGCCAGGTTATTAGAGCAAAATGTTCTTGCGTTGAGGGAGTTCTTGTGTAAAGGCCCAATGTCCGTCCGCTACTTTGATACTTATCATATAAATATATGTACATAGATCTATTTCCCTATTGTTATGTATAAATATATTTACATATGTACATGCCTGTATTTAGACCTCTATAAGTCCTTTTCCTCCTAGTTCTGTCTTCTATTTCCTTTTACTTTTCTCTTGTCCACTATCATGTTGTGCCTTCACTCGGGTTTCAGTAATTCCTCTCAGCTCCATTGCCTTCAATCAAGCCCCACCAGGCATCCTATGCCCTCCTTGCCATCAATTTTAGATCGCTTGTTGTTCCCTTGTCCCTGGGTTTGTTGACACTCCCCTTCTTTCCCCTACCTCCTCCTCTCCCATGTCCCCTGGGAAGCATCAGTCCCCTTGTTTTCTCCTGCAGATTGTTTATCTTGCCTATCTTATCTAGACAGACATGCAGAGACAATAATAAGCACAAATACAAAACAACAACAACAAAAACAAATAAATAGCAAAAGCATATAAATAGCTTGTTGACCTTTAGGAGTGTTTTCCCTGGTCCCAAAGTCTATTTTTTGGTATTCCTCTTGGACTTCATTGCTTTGCTCCCCTTGCTGCTCTGTTGCACATCCTTAGTGTTTTGCCTCAGTGTGGTGGGGTAAGATCAGGCACAATTCCCACACTGTGTCTCCAGTGTTGTCCTCCATAGTGCTATGGATCAGTGAGGGACACCGTGTCTCATGGTGGGGCCAGCCCTATGGTGCACTGTACACTGGCTGCGCTGAGCAGGAATATTGTCCCCAAGGCTTGATAGGCCAGGACATGTTCCACTCTCTCTTTCCTCTTTGTTTGCTCCTGTGTGCTCTGATCAGACTCACCCCTGTCCCTGAGCTGTAGATTCAGTGCTGTCCTCTGAAATGCTTTCTACTTGGGGGAGGAGAGTTCCCCATAGTTGGAATTGGGGCCAGCCCCACAGACCTCTTTATTGGTTCCCTGCTTCATGCCAGTATGTTGCATTCATGTCTTGCCCCATTGGGTTGAAGCCTGGCCCCTCTCTCCCTCTCCTGTGGAGATGTAAACAACATCCTCCTCTTGGCTGGGTAGTGCCCTGTTCCCCCACTACCCATGTCTTTTTTCTTTCTTTCTTACTTTTTTTCCTCCTTTTTAGTTGGCTGCCACATGTATTACTGGATTGGGTCTGGCCCCTGTCATACTACCTGGACCTCACCGCAGGAATGCATATATATATAGTAGTTTTCCCCTAAGCCCCTTTTGCATTTTTAAGCTTACCTCAGTGGACTCATGCTGTGCTTGTCTTTTTGTTCTTGGCATATTCGCTTAGCATAATTTCCACCGATTCTTCCTATGCAGTAATGTGCTTCGTGCATTATACGCTGCTTTTTAGGGATGCGTAGTACTCCATTGTATGTATGTACCACAGTTTTTTAATCCATTCGTCTGTTGGTGGAAATTTGGATTTTTTCCATCTCTTTGTGATTGTGATCTGTGCTGTGATGAACATTGGAGCACAGATTTCTGGCCATGGTTTGTTCCTTGCCTCTTTTGGGTATATGCCCAGTAGGAGGACTGCTGGGTCATATGGTAGCTTGATTTTAATCGGTTTTAGATGTCACAAAATCAATTTCTGTAATGACTGTACATGCCTACAGGTCCATGAAAAGTGGTCCCGAGTACCTATCTCACCACAGTCCCTCCAACACTTAATTTCTGATTTTTTGAATTGGGCTATCTTTGAGGGTGTTAGGTGGTATCTCATAATTGTTTTAAATTGTATTGCTCTTATGGCTAATGATCGGGAACATTTTCTCATATGTTTATTGGTCATTCAGATTCCTGCCCTTGTAAAACTTCTGTTCAGGCCTTTGCCCACATCCTCAGTGGGCAGTTTTTTCCTTATTGTAAACTAGCAGAGTACTATAGATTTTAGTAATAAGGCCTTTGTCTGATATATCATTGCTAAAGATGTTTTCCCAGTCCGTGGACTCTCTTATTACTACTACCTTGGTGAATTCTTTCAATGTACACAGTATTTCATCTTTAGTATATCCCACTTGTCAATTTGTGACTCATCTGTATTTGTGTCCTTCCCTATTACTGATAGCCTATGCATTCCCTGTGCCAAAGTTCTCGGATTTGTCCCAATTCCCTCATTGATGGCCCTAATAGTTGGGTTTTACCTCAAGGTCTGTGATCCACCTTAAGGTTGTTCTTGTGCATGGAGTGGGATAAGGGTCTTGCTTCATTTTTATGCAGGTAGATATCCATTTTTTCCACCACCACTTTACTAAGAGGGCATCTACTTCCCATTTTATCTTTTTTGGGCCCTTAACAAAGATAAATTGTCTGCATGCTGGTGATTTTATTTGTGGGTTTTCAGTTCTTTTCCATTGGTCTGAGTATTGGTATTATACCAATACCACATATTTTTTTACCACTGTGGCTATATAATAGGTGCTAGACAGTAAAGCAAGCCTTGCCACTTTGTCTTTCTTCTTGAGGAGTTCTATGTTAATTTTGGTTTTCTTCCCTCTCCATATGAAGTTGGTAATCAGTTTTTCCAATTCTTTGAAGAAAGATGATGGTATTTTTTATCAAAATAGCATTACACTTATGTAGTGCCTTGGGCAGAATTGACATCTTTACTATATTGAGTCTTCCCATTCACGGGCAAGGTTTGAGGTCACGCTTGGTTTCTTGTAATAGTGTTCTGTAGCTTTCCTTGTACAAATCTTTTGGGGCTTTTTTAGTCAGGTATATCCCTAGATATTTCAATTTGT